CCTCCTCCTCCTCCTCCTCCTCTTCCTCTTCCTCTTCCTCCTCCTCCTCCTCATGATTTTCAATCCCCCTTCTCCTCCCATAGCCGATCTTTCTCCCCCTTCTCCTCCTCCTCCTCCTCCTCCTCCTCTTCCTCCCATCGCGATCTTTTTCCTCCTCCTCCTCCTCCTCCCATAGCGATTATTTTCCTCCACCTCCTCCTCCTCCTCCTCCTTCCTCCTCTCCTCCTCCTCCCATAGCTTGGTCTGGTATGCACGGTTATGGTAAGCAACAGTTTGGAATCGGAGCGGATATTTTTCATCAAGATCGGTCTGATCAAGTACAGTTTTTTGATTGATTGATGGATGATGGATTGATTGATTGATTAATTAATGAATGAAGCAGGGTTTCGTCAAAATCTCTGCATATACAATTTTTTTTCTTTTTCTTTTTACTTCGGGTATTAGCTTTTCGTTTCATCTTAAAATTTTTGATATTTGCATTTCGTTTTCACGTAACAAAGATCCGAAAATTTCTGATAAAAACATTTCGTTTTATCTGAAAAGTTTCGGTAGTTGCACTTCATTTTTTTTACGAAACAAATATCCTAAAATTTCTGGCAGGTAGCATATCGTTTTTATTTCCGAAAATTTCTGATAGGTGGCACTTCGTTATATTAGTATATGAAAAACTTCGATATTTGCAATTCGTTTCGTTTATGTAACAAATATCCGAAATTTTCTGATGGCAACATTTCGTTTGTAAATGGAAACGAAATCTCCTCTTTTCTGAAAATCGAATCTTCATTTTTTTTTTGCAAAAAGTTAGTCTGCGAAAACCGGAATTTCACTCCTTCTCCTCCTCCTCCTCCTTTTTCTCCTCCTCTTCCGCCTCCTTCTCCTCCTCTTCCGCCTCCTCCTCCTCTATCACAAAAACATCCGATATTTGCATTTTGGAAGCATATCGTTTTCGCCATCGCCATCTTCTTCGTCCTCCTACTCCTCCCTCTCCTCCCCATCGCCATCTTATGGCTCCTCCTCCTCCTCCTGCTTCCTCCCCTTCGCTATTTTTCTCCACCTCCTCGTCCTCCTCCAAAGCTCCATTTCTGCCTTCCAAGTGTTTGAACATTTCGGAAAGTGTCGCGAAGAGGTAATGCCATGTACTACCATATTTGAACATTTTGAATTTTTTTTATTTTTTTTTTAAATGAAATATTTCCGAAAAGGTGGTGATGATGTTATAACGTGTAGGAACTATGATAGAAGGTGGTGATGATGTTATCCCATGGGGATTTTCTTTTTGGTTGAAAAAATGACATATTTCGGAAAAGGTCGTCATACGGTAATGCCACCCAGGAAGTGCAGTCGGCAGAGTTAGTGGTGCTGATAAGAGCAGCCACCGCTAGAACCTGGGGAGGGGCTCAAAACCTCAATCCTAAAAATCCGCAGCGGCATATCGGGCGGTGGTCATATGCTTGCCTCGCTTGATGGACATTGGAATATTGACGACGTATGAAATCAACATGAGGTACATGACAGCGGGCCCAGGCGGAGCGTTAACGAAGGGCACTGCGTAGCGACACGTCACCAACAGGACAACATCGTGAAACCCACCGGCGTGCCTCCATCTCTGTTCTTGACCATAACGTGGCCACAACCTGACGGGTCCGAGTTCTCCGTTTCGTCTCATTCCAGATGGCCTCCAAAGGTAAGTAATGGCCCCACGTTTGTGTGCTGTTCTTTCTTTTCATGTACCACGCACTCCATCCGCATGTCAAGGAAGGCTCTCTCTCTCTCTCTCTCTCTCTCTCTCTCTCTCTCTCTCTCTCTCTCTCTCTCTCTCTCTCTCTC